GGACTCTTTCGACCTCTAGCAAATGCCACTGCTTTCTTCAGCAAGACTAGGCGCCTCCCCATGCCGCAAAATCTACGCTGGTGTTCTGTGACCGCCATTTTCCAGGTTACTGGTCACCAGATGTTTGGCCATCTAACTCACCCGATTGAACCCAATGGATTTTGCGGTGTGGGGCTTCCTGCAGCAGAAGATGCCTTCTAGGCAACATCGAAGTTTGGACTTCCTGAAGGCTTGGAAGTAACTCGACGAAAACTGCTTGCGGCCCACGGTGATGTCAGTTGAGAAGAGACTTGAAGCCTGTATCGCCGCCGGAGGACTTCTTTCCGAGCACTTCTTAGTAATGAATTGTTATGTTTACTGTATATAAAAATAAACCTCTGAAGATGTAATAGATTCTCTTTTTAAAAATATGGTCAATAAACCATGCGCCAATATTTAGTAGCCACCCTGTATACGACCAAATTGCATCACCGTGGGCTGTCTCATTTTCCACATTATACTCACGGAATTGGGGCGGACACGTGGCGCTGGTGGAGCTGCTAAGGTTGGTTTCCTTAGTTGTAATTTTTCCTCTATTTGAAACTCTTGAGGAGTATCGTGGACTGACCGGGTAAGTTACAAGCTAAAACTTCGAACTGACTTCAGGTCCTGAAGACGACGAGTTGTTCGAAACGTCGACCGAATAAATAAGTTCCACCGTAACAACCTGTATGGCAGAAGAAGAAAAACAAGCCTTGGAATAAAGTTCACATCACCTATGCCGGACCCATCAACGGAAAGATGTATCTTGTGGTTGTCGATTCGTACTCGAAGTGGCCTGAAGTTTCCGAGATGTCGTCGTCTACAACGAAAGCAACTTTGAAAGAGCTCAAGATGTTGTTCGCACGATTTGGAAATCCAAGAGTTATCGTGTCAGACAATGGAACACAATTCACATCAAGAGAGTTCAAAGAATTTTGCGACAGAAGGCATAGAACACATCCGTTCACCGCCATTTCATCCACAATCAAATGGACAAGCGGAGCGTTTCGTCGATCTCTACTGAAACTGAAGGAGGGAGAGAGGTCGGACCCCTTCCAGAATTTCTGAAGTGTTATCGAAGAACGCCGTGCACGTCAACTCCTGGACAGCTTTCACCAGCAGAATTGTTTCTCGGACGTCAGATAAGACTACCTTGACGTTACTGAAGGAAACAACCGAAGGTGAAAAAGGACCAAGAAATGCAAAAATGGAAAAGCAATTCAACCGTCACCACGGAGCACGAAAAAGATCGTACAAGATTGGAGAACCAGTTTGGATTCGAGACTATCGTCCTGGACACAAGCGATGGATCCTGGCACACGTGAAGAGTCGTTTGGACGAGTTCTGTACGACGTTCTGACGGAAGAAGGTCAGCTGTGGAGAAGACATGCGAATCAGATGCGAGCTAGATCAAAAGGAAGTAGCACTGATGAAGGAATTGCAGACACTTGATGAACACACCGGAGATCGACCACAGAGATCGAAAGAAGCTCAGCATAATGAGGAAGCGGAGATTACAGCCGATTCTGGAAACGATACTTTGGATCGGACTAAATCGACGGCTTCACCTCAGACAACGGAAAGATGGAACCGACACCGCCGTGCACCCGACCGTCTTCAAGTGAATCCGAAAATGAAGACATATGTGATATGCAAAACATAGGGGGTATGCAAAACATCAAATCCATTGAAAGCAGTATGTTCGCACAATGGCCCTTCTACACTCAGTTTAACTGAAGCCTATGATGACATGCGCGCGATAGCGGGCGGGAGAAAACTGGTTATTGTATACACTACTATCATTCCCCAACACCTCCCCTAGGTGCTGGCCTTGCGCTGTGAGTTCCGTGACTTTTTGCGTTTCAACGCTTATTATCAGCGCCTATCAGCTCTTATCACCTTCTGGTCCCCATCAGATATGTGTTTACTAATGCGTTTTATATATAGTAGGGATATGTTTACCATTGTGTATAAAAGGGCTACTGTCTGAGTATGGGTATCTTTGTTGTAGCAAAGTCTAGGGATGGTAGTGAACTGCTATAGACTCACAGTCAGAGGTGGTGATCGAGGACCGTAAATGAAGAGTAAAGCCACCGTTGAGATTACCAGCCGCTTACTCTCGCTTGGCCTATTCACGACGCATTTCTCGAGACACTACGCTCCTGCTGTGGCCACATCGTTCCTTTTGATTTTCACCGTTGCTATAGCATTTAACACCTCCGATTTCTCTTACCTACTTTCAGCGTGTTTCTTGCAGACAAAGGATCTGAATTTTGTCGACATGGCATCAGATAAGATACCTTTCGGGATTTCCCAGAGAGCTGTTTTACTTTTTAGTCCTATCCGAAGCATTTCTGGCCGAGGTCATGACTCTGGTGCCCGAATACTATCCACAAATCGGGAGAGGATATGTACATCTTTACTCTATAGGCCCGTCATTCGATCTGCGCTTTGCGCTCTCAGCTTCTAGAGTTTCGCTATTTTTCTAGGGCATAGTCCTTGCCGCTAATACTGCCCTCAATGGTAAGGCTACGTTCTCCTCGGCTGTCCCTTTTCTATTCCGTCAGCATCATGCACATATAATTCATAGAGGCAGTGCTTTCTATCATTACATTACTTCACTCTATGCGTACAATTGCTGAATTTAACGGGAATTCCTTCCGATAGAGTAATCTGATAAACTGAAAACGTTCAAACTGACCATCCTGTATAATTTTTTCGCGGCTGGAAGGAATTTGCCCTCGTAACCAGGTGACATTCCCGCTGCGAGCAGAGTTCGAAATCCGTTGTGAAATTCTAGAATTTTGTAGCGAGTGGTATCGTCCATGAAGCTACCGTGCTTTTGGCAAAACTCTGTAATAGCACAACCAATTGATTCAAAGTCGTGCATGAGTTGAAAAAGGATAGAAGTAAACTAAATAATAGCAACCAGTTGGTTTCGTTGTTACACGTAACTAAACCAGCCATCAGTACATAAATTTAGTGATATCAATAGCAAATTAATTTCGGATCCAAAAGGACCAATTCACCGAGTAGTTCTTGCATCCCTTACTCTTTTGAAAGTCGTCTTGCCAGTTGTATCGTTCTGGTGAAGTGATAGTAAACTTTACGGTATGGCCGGCAATCACTCTGGTGTGGGAAGGGGTGTCTTCAAGCTGCAAAAGTGGTTTGATGCGATGCAATTGAAGGTTTTCTAGCTAGCGTCAAAATGCACGAACAATTCAGGTCGATGAACAAACAAACAAAACCGGTCGACGACTACAAGAGTTGCACAGCATGCTTTCTATGGGGATGGGTCCAGATATCACCAATTGACGAACGGCATTAGTTTAAAAACGATTAGGGAAACAAAAAAATAACTTTTTAAGTACAAGTTGAAAACTTTTAGTTGAAAACTTCTTTCCCAATCTGTAATTAGAATCTCTATGGCCAAAAAATAGAATAAGTATATGAATCCAATTCGAAACTACTGGAATTCAATTAGAGACAGAAGGAACATCTTTCAGCAGGAGTTCTTCATTAGTGTTCCCAGAGGGACGGTATACAATGAATATTTCAAACGACAGTTTCCTTTCTATTAGGTCATCTCATTCAAACATGTCCACGGTTTTATTCGAATAAAATGAACAGCAGGAAAGATAAAAAGCTAATACTTTGGTGTTAAGTCAAGCAGATCTTGTCGTTGTTGACGACCCGATTCCAGCGTCTAGAAAACACCCAAGATGCTCTTGATGTCAGTATAGATGATCAACGAGTTGTCGTAGCGCTTCCAACGAGTAGGGCGTTCAGTTCGCTAAAACAGCTGAGGTCGCACGGCTGCAGTTGGGAAAATACGGCTGATAAGAAGAGGTCACAATATCCGTTTGGTCGAAATACCCGTGAGCAATATGAGCTATGTGGGGTCTGGCATCGACATAGGTGATGATATCGTTATTGTAGTTTTGTACTGCTATTCCTTTGTCAATTTGATTCGCTAAGAAACAAGCCATACACTTGAGAAACGCCGGAGGTTTTTTCCCGACAGAGCCATTTAAGAGGCACATCTCAGAAATCCATCGCCATAATAATCATCCACGTGAACCCACGTGACTTCTCGTGATCCAATTCGGGCAGTTCCTCATTCGCGTTAATCCAAAGTTGACACTTCTGACTTTGGCCTCAGCGTACAATTACACACAAATTTCGTTTATGAGCAGGGTCCAGTTTGATAGTCTTAAATGCCGTTATCGGCAGAGAAAATCATTGCTACAGACACCAATTCGATTCTGGACTCCTGCATCTGGGAGTAAATGGGATATCCAAAAACGTGTTCTATGGACCATCCCCAACTTTCGGGCACAATTTGCGTAACAAGCGTAGCTAGACT